TTGTGGACATCTGTGAAGGGCTCCTGGCATCTTTCTGGGGACTGTAGACAGTGTTGCCTATTAGCCTAGCAGCCAGCTGCTTCTCGACACTGCTTTCAAACCGACTGTCCTGTCACCTACAGTAAAGCCCTTTGTTGCTTTGGTAGCATTGCTCTGGCCTACAGTGCATGAGCCATAGAGTTTCTGCTCAGGATTGGTATTTTGGTGCCAGTCTGAAGTATCTTATGTCGGTATCTTGTGGTTGTCTAGCTTTTTAGCAGTTCTCATGACAATTTTTCTTTCTTACTTTAGAAGGTTGTACTGTAAAAAACAGCAGTAGTAACTAATCAAGTTAACCTATTTTCATCCCAGAACACTTGGTAATCATAAGATGAAAAGAATAAATCACTGAGCCTTTCTAAGGGATGAAACCTTTCTGATATCTCAGTATTCAAAGTTGATATATAAGGTGTCAAGGTAGTTCTGAAATGCTGGAAATAGCCACTGTTGTTGAGATACACTGCAGTGTTATGTATAGGTGTAGTTTCCTAAGGTGTGATGTTTCGGCCTCAGAAAATTTCATTTGTGTGTGCAAAAATGATTGGAACAGATGCAAGTAAGCTGGGCCAGGTTATTTGCCAAGTCAGTGGTATTTAGTTATGATTCCTGCTGTGCTTTGAGGTGCCTCCTGAGAGGAAACATGATCAATATATATAAGTACCTCAACGGAGGCAGTGAGGAGGATGGTGCTGGCCTCTTTTCAATGGTGGCCACTGACAGAACTAGAGGAAATGGCCAGAAACTAAAGCATCAAAAATTCCACAGGAATTTAAGCAAAACATGATTCTTAGGTTGAAAACATCACACCTCCCCCCATATTTTCATTCTTGATTTCAGCCTTGTTAGGCACGGGTTGTCCCCTGTTGTACAAGCTCGCAGAACAGGGAAATCATGTTGTAAACACTGTGCTATACAGAGAAAGATGTGAATTGTATGTTTTCTCTGAGCCTATTTAAGAATAAAATAAGATCATAGCAAGACTGATCTGGTCTGCTCTGGTAAAGCTCAGCTGACAACTTTGAATTTATGCAGCAACTATTTCCTTGGTTTGATAAGGAAATGATGGAGATATGATAAAGAAATACAGAGGAGATGGAAATCATAGAAATAAGCAGGAGAGGATTAAAACAACCCCTGGAAAGATCAGGAGGTAATAAAAACTTTTTAGGGGCTGTGTTCTCATAGGTAATGAACAAGACACAGAATTGCCTGTGGTGCTTGAAACTAGATATTACAGTAAATACTGTTAAGCATTAGATTATGGGTGCTGGATTTGAATTTAGTAAGGTACATTGTTTCTCTAGCTAAAGTATACAAACCTGTGTTAACTGGAAAACTCTAGAAGGTGTTCCTAATAGTTGATATTATCATGTGAGCACATTGCTATTAAATCCTGCAATTCCCATAAATAGTAGCTATCCTTATATGTCTGAATAAAATTAGGTTGTTCTGATTCATGAAATGCCATCTGTGTATATGGCAAATAGATCTTTATTAAAAAAAAATGTAGAATACCTTCTTTTTCCTAAATCATAAATACTGCAAACAGTGTATCAGATTTTCAGTTTATCTGTAATGCTTCTTTAAAACATAGTTCTTACAGAATTGTGAAAAAAGTGCTTAATAGAAACTCTTTCCTTATAATAACTGTCTTTTTTTTTCTTTTTTTTTTTAGCCTCCTCCAGGGAATGTGAAAATGCCTACTGTACCCAGTACTCAGCCGGCAATAATGAAACCAACAGAAGAACCACCTGCTTACACACAAATTGCAAAGGTTTGTCTGTAATTTTAGGGCGGTAGGTTCCTTCTAGTTATAATTACATAAACACTCTTCTGGAACTCTGTCTTTTATTAAAAAAAAGCATTACTTAATGATTTGGGGAAAAGAATATTGTTTTTAGGTAACCTGTTATTAGTTCATGAAATATTAGGTCACTTCCATCATCACTGGAGATGCATAATTACAGAGACTCAGAATATTTATTTTGTTTTTTAGCAAATCTAACAATACCTGTTTTATACAGGAGCATGCCTTGGCCCAGGCAGAACTGCTAAAGCGCCAAGAAGAACTAGAAAGAAAAGCAGCTGAGCTAGATCGCAGAGAAAGGGAAATGCAGAGTCTGAATCAGCAGGGGGGTATGTATGAACTTTTTTTTTTTTTAATTGTAGAAATTTGAGTCTTTCCTAAAGCCTGAAAGAGGAAGTTAGTGATAAGCAAATGACTGTCTAAAAGATACTGCAAATCAGGCATTGTATGGTATGACTGAGGTGAGCAATATTCTTTTCTTATTGATTTCTTTCTTTTGTGTGCTCCTTCAGAGTCCTTCTGAAACAGAAGGTGTCATTATTGGAAGGGGAGGATCTTTTACAGTATAGCTCTAGCTTTTTGCATTTAATTTAAGAGTCTGACTTCACAAGTAAGATACTTCAGTTGAATATAATGGACTACAATGCATGCTGGCAGGGCTTCTCAGTTTGCTGCCTTCTACAGCTCAAGCCCAGGGCAGCATTGTGTTCAAGTTGATTAAACTGTTGTTTTCTATTTTAGGTGGTTCATTCGGTCATGGCTGAAAAAACCTTACTGTGTTTGCATGCAGCTGGTTTGGGAATGTCCACATTGATAGTGTGGGCATGTTGCTGAAGTTCTTTTCATAGCCTTGAGGTGGCAGCTTATGTTGAATAGTATAACTGAGCTAGTGCTTTGCTTGCTGAGCCAAGCTCTAATCTTGGAATAGGAGTATGCAAAGAGTATTGAGAGAAAGAGTGAATTATCTGTTAATATCTGTTATCAGATTTATATATATATATAAAAGAAATCCCACAGTAGTTTTAATACGTAGGGGAATATTACTTGTTTACTTTCTGTATTACCCCTCTGTAAGTACCCCTCTATGTTAAATGACTTGATAAATTGATAAAAGGTCCATCAGAGAGGAAGAAATCACAGCAGTGTTTTAGACCTGCTTGGAAAGAACTGTCAGCATCTTGTCTGAGTGGGGAAAGAAGAAACATAATAATGCTAGTATTTCAGACTTGCAAGATTTCTGTCTTTCCATATGAACTACAAGGAAAGCTATGATTGAAGGTAGAAATCACAAGCCAAAGCTTGTGAGAATATTAAAAAAAGGGGTCTGTAGGTTAGCCTCCAGATTAGCTCCGCTTTTGCAAAATACTGATTATTGTACCTATTGCGTTGAGAATTTGAAATGATTGACAAAGGTTTTTTCTGTCTGTCTCGGTTGAGTCTGAATACTGTGCTTGCTGTGTCTTGCATTCAGCAGACTGTGTACTGTGGCATGTGAGTAGATCAATGTACAGATGACTGATAATGTGTTATAAACTTTTTTTTTTTCTGATTTGCAGGTAGAAAAAATAACTGGCCACCTCTTCCTGAGAATTTTCCAGTGGGTCCGTGTTTCTATCAGGATTTTTCTGTAGACATTCCTGTAGAATTCCAGAAGACAGTGAAGATTATGTACTATTTGTGGATGTGTAAGTATTTTGAACAGAAAAAAACAAAATGCCTATTCAAACATGATGATCCTTGTCTGCTAATTTGGCTTTTGTACCATCTGTGGTGAGGAATGTATTGTTTTAGTCCAGAGAAGTTAAGTCTTTGTGTTGGATTCAATTTCAAGAGTATAGAATTGTTTCATAGAAACTTTGGTGAAAGAAAGGGGAAAGTATTACCTTTAAAGCAGTCTGCTTTATACCTGTTGTAGTTTTTTGTTTAAATATCCCTCTTGTTTTTAAATAATATCTGAGCAGTTATTACCTTAAAAATTATTTTAGCTTTTAAAATAAGCTTAATACTTAATAAGTATTAAGAAATCTGTGTCGCAGTATTTATGAGACTTGTGTCAAATGTGCAATGTTTCTTTGTCTAGAACTTACTATAGTTTTAGTCTTTTTAGAAAAATAAATAGTATAACATAAAATAGCAGAAGAAATAGTCCGTATTTATAACTATTTTTGATACTGCATAGGTGCTCTAAATAGTCTTTGAGGGGTTAATTTTGCATTCATTCAGATGCTGTGCTTTGATAGGAAAAATGCTGGATGAATCAAATGTACAAATGCCATGACCTTTGATTGTCTTGTCTGGTGTAATGAGATCTTAAGCCTGAGGCTCAGGAAATTCAGCAGGCTTAGGGGTTTTGATGCCATTAATAGATATTTTATTTTGCTGGGGAATGTGAATTTCAGACTTTTTCTGTATTTTTTCAGGGTTTCAGATTTAGCAAATTAGTTAGTGTCATAAATCTGGCAGACATTTAAGATTTATATCAAGTCTAAAATCAACTCCAGAATTTTAGAATAGTTAATAACTTAGGCCATTTGCAGGATTGAGTTTTAAGTGCTACATATTTTAAACTGAGAGACATTGGGCAATGAGAATTGGAGTGTTAATACTCTTATTTTTTTGCCTTCCAATGGGAATAAATGAAGAAGCCACTGGTGTTAATTATTTCAAAATAGATGAGAATTCTACTTTCATTTAAGGCTGACAGATTTTCTTCTAGGTAGACTGAGACTTTAACTGAGTCTCCTGTTCTTTTTCTTCTTTAGTCTTCATTTTCTCTGTGACCTAGGAATCGCTAAAGAAGGAAGGAAGAGGGCATATTAAAAAAAAATAATAAAAAGAAATGAGGAAGCCTGAAGAATATTGCAGACTAGGATAATGGTTGAATACAGAGCTCTCTGCTTCATGGCTAGCGGGTGAGGTCTTTCCTCTTTTTTGGGAATATACCTCCATGGTTTGGTTCATGCTTCATTAGAGTGGCTGTGCTTCCTTAACAGCTGCAGTCATTACCACAGCAAACCAACCTGCTTCTGCTTGTTGCTCTGGTCTATATTTTATTTCATCTTCTGGATCTTGCTGTGTTGTAAAAGGCTGTGAAGATAACACTGTTGAGAAAAATCTAGTTCTAGCTGCTCAGAGCTTTATAAAGTATGTTAATTTTCCTGCAAGTCTTTAGCATCCCTAAGAATACACCTTTCTATTTCATTTTTTTCTGTGTTGTCTTGATTAGTAACAATGTTAATATCTTTATTCTTTACATTTCTGAGAAAACCTTCTCATCTTTTATGGGATCAATAAACTCTGTGGTTTGAGAATAGAGGTCAGCCTATTCCAATGCCAGTGAATTTCTTCACCTTTTCTCTGTTGGTACCAGAATTCAGAAAGATGTTATTCCTTCATGTGGTTTGCTCTCTGCAAGGATGACTTATTTTTCTTATGAAACTGTCCTTTTTTGCTTGTTTTTTTAACTGGCTGAGTGCTCTCATGTGTTTGTACTGTCTTCTTTTTAACACTCATTGCTGCTTTAGGGAGAAGTGGATAGAAGGGCAATTTTACTGGCTCCAGTGGCTTTGAGCACTACTCTTCAGATCGTTGTATACTATTGCCAGTGAAATGCCCAATGTCTTCTGACCAAAAAACATGTTTAGCTTGAAAGTCCGTGTTTTCCAGCCACTTTCCCATAGGCTGATAGAATGCAAAATGAGCAGTATTGATTTTCAAAGAATATTTTATTTTGAAATTGAAACCGAAGAGTTCCCCGATCTCATGGCAAGTATTTGAGGCGTTTGGATTTGTTGTTTTGTGAGACTTTAAAAGATTTTTAAAGACAAATGACTGAAGCTATAATTCTGATGAAAATCTACCTCAAGGTACCAGTTGTTACAGTATTTGTTTCATTCCTCCATCCTTCAATCTGATGAAAAGTCAGTAGCACCTCTATCAGTCTGTGCTGATTTTTGTTTTGTGCTAATGTTTGCTTTGCCTGCCCTTGAGGACCTCCACAGAGGGGTAATTTGGAAGTTCCCTGTTCCTCCCCCCATCTCAGCCTGTTCCAGTATGTTGCCTTCCTTATCATTAGAAAATGTTTCCCAACATATAATTTAGTTCTCCCTTGCTGTAATTTATTTTTGTTGCTCTCTCCACAGTTTCTATGGAGAACACATTTTTTCCCCTTAGTTATCCTCTTTTTTTTTCTAAATTAGTATAGTTCAGTCAGCCTTTCTTTGTAGGTCATCTTTTCTAGGCTTTTGATTGTTTTGTTGCTGTCTTGTAGATTCATCATTTCATCTACTCCAGATTAGTATGTGTTTTTTTTGAGTGTGTAGCATCCAAAATTGAACAGTGTGAACCATGTCCAATATTTCAGCAGTCTTAATATTCTGAGTAGAGGGAAGAAAAAGGCATTTCACATGTCTAGTAGGATGTGCTCATGTTTCTACTTTTGTCAACGGAGGAGTGTTGCATCTTATTGTGTTTCTCTCTCATGCAAGCTAAAAAAGAGCAAAATAGAGGGCAAAAGGGGCAAAAGCTAGACTCTAACTGAAGTCACTCTGATACAACCCAAGATTGTACGTGATCAAACTTCACCAGCTTTTTCCTTGCATGTGGCTGCGAAAGTCCTCATTTTAGGGACATTCTGTTCCAGCTGAGGCATTCCACTACCGGGCAACAGTGCAGCCCATTCCTTGGAAGAAGACTTATTCTTCAGCCTGTCCTAATGAGGACTTCAGTTTCCTCAGACCAGCCTCAATAAAACATTGTTACGAAAATCTATTTCATACAGTCCCAAATGAGACTGCAAAATAGTCTCAATAACATAGATGTCAACTAGATAACATCAGTGCAACTTGTGGTCTTTACACATTATTCACTTTAAAATATTAATGAGTGATAAAATACAGTTAATTAAGATGGGGAATGTGGTGCTTCTAGGTAGGATTCCTTTATAACAGGAAGTTACACTAATACAAATGAAGTTGTGAGTGTGAATATTTCACTAAACCAGTATAATTTCTCACTTTCACTCTTATTTTGATATGAGTGCTCTTTTAAAACTCACCTTCTTTCTCAGATGAACTAGAAAAAGGCTTTCTTAGGTCACTTCATGTTGAGTGCTGCGTTGCTCTAGCCATGCTGGTTCACGGCATTTTTTGTCATATGGATGTTCTGTGATACGGAGCTCTGGCCAAGCCTTGATTCGTTTCAGCCCTCACGTAGCTATTAACTTTTAATAACATTTAGCACATTTGAATTTGAAGAGACACATAAGAAGATGATACTTAAAACTGTTAGCCTGAACGTAAAGACAAATGTCTTTTTATTCAATATGAAAATTCATGTAGATCCAATGGCTCAAAAACTTAATGCCTTTCTGTAGTTTGCAAGAGTTAGAGAAAGGAGAGTGAAAGGAAGAGGGAATTGTCAGTGAATTCCTGTGTCTTCAGCTGGTGCTGCTCCTGAATTTTTGGAGCTAAGTTTCCTTGTGACAGCAGTGAAGTACTGAAGCAGCCCACTGTTTTACTGTGCTAATAAGCGTCGGTGGATGTGTGATGGATTGAGCCCTTTCCTGCACTCATAGCAATGCTCACTTTAAAGTCATCCTGGTGTCTGTGGAATTGCAAAGAGTTTAGTCTTTCTGCAAATTCAGATTCCACCAGAAGCTGGGACCTTTCTAGTAATAAATGGGCTCTTTTTTCCAGTAAGGAGTAGATTAAAAAATAAGTATCACTCGGCAAATTTTCTCATATTTATCAAAGAAAGGTTGGGATTTGGATATGTTCCCTGTGTTGTACTTGCTGTGCACGCACAGCAAATCTGAGGAGTGTGTTGCTTTGTTAGCTTCTTGGAACAATACTTAACTATTTAAATGAATTAAATACTCTTTATTTAAAAAGCACGGAGTTTTCTGTTTCTGGTGATTCTTACGGGGGAATGTGATTTCTGTGGGGAGAAAGTGTTTTGAGGTCCTTTAGTCCTTCATGTTGAGACGTG